CGCGAGAAGCAGGAAGGGGAGAAGCAGGGGGCGGAGCGTTCAGGGGAGGGGGCAGAGTTGGGGCGAGGCTGGGGGCGGGAAAGGGGCAGAGTTGGGGTGGGGCCGGGGCCCCATGGAGTGTCCTCCTTTTTAAAAATTAAAAGATGGTAACCCTATTTCAGGGGGTCCGCCAAACGGCTGACATTAGACTTGCAGGAGCCCAGGGCAGAAAGCTGAAGCCCCAGGGCAGAAAGCTGAAGCCCCACCGCCTGGGGCTGAGCCCTGGGCCCCGAAGCCCGCCACTCAGGGCTGAAGCCAAAGCCTGAGAAACTTAGCTTTGTGGTGCTCCCTGTGGCGTTGGGCCCTGGGCAACTGCCCTGCTTGCTATCTCCTAAGGCTGGCCCAGGCTTTTGTATGCAGAAAAACAGTTGTGGCACAGGTGGGCTGTAGAGTTTTTATAGCTTGTTGAGGGAGCCTCAGAAAGAAAAAGGTTGAGAACCGTTGCGTTAAAAGACTTTGCTCTCCAATATGGTACCTTTCACAATTAATTAATTCAGTGTAAAATTAAAACTGATATGCCACCACGTACCTGGATCAAACTGAATGAGCTTAGAGGGCGTCACAGTAAAATCCTTTCCCAATGTAGCAGTCACTTCATTAACCTAAGAAGAAATTAAACAGAAAATACCATACAATGGAGAAGCTCGATCTTTCCAAATCTTTTTAGTCTATTTAACCAGACCAATGCATTCTAATGAATGCTGCAACCTTCTGTGGATATTCATCACTATACTCTATTTATAAGATCTCAAAAGCACACACAGTATTGTACAATACACTGTGACACTTGAGTGAGAAAAGAAATGGGAAGAAAAATAAATCTTGCCAGTTTAAACAGGAGGGGAAAAAAACAATTCCAACCTCGCCTTTGGGTTAAAAGTCATAATATAAAAGCTTATTGTGCATCTTGTCCTTTCACTTCTCAAATCACTACATAAATAGCATCATTTAGCATTTTTATTCAGCAAAATCTGGGGCCATAGCTATAGGTGGCACCTGGAGACAGATAGAATAGCTCTCTGAAAGTGTACACTGGACAGTTGGCCTGCGTGATTGGAACTGGGGTTAGGCTAGCCAGAGTAAAAGCATCCTCACAACCTTCCTGCATTACTGTGTCCTCACTGTTTCTGCACTCACCTGTGTGTGTCTGGGAGCATATCCCATAGTTCTGTGCACGGATATGCTCTGGGATTCTTTCCTGGTCAATTGCAGGAGAATTTGTCTGCCCCTTGGGGGAATTGTGGGAAGGGCATTTGAGGATTATCAGATGTTGAGAGATCTTACCATGGCTGGAATCCTACTGCAAAGTTGGTGGGTTCCAGCCCAAGCTAAAACACTGCTTCGGCTTTAAACCACACCCCCGGCTCTGCAAGCAAGCATGGGTTGCAAAGTGCAAATATGCACAAGCTTGAGAGTTGTTCATGTGGAGGTAGGGGGTGTGTGGCAAAAATACGGGGAGGAGCACAGTCTAAGGTGTGGATATACCCAAACAGTGCATTGTTACACTACAACATCAGCATTACTGTGTGCCAGCATCCAGCCCTTCACATCGGGGCCTTGTGCTCCCATTTCTACTGACAGTAGAAATAGTTTGTGTGCAGGGCTATCCATGGGCACCATTGCCTAGTCAGGGTGGGCATGTACATATACATGCAGAAGCATGGGGAATAATGGCTCTCCATGACTTTTCAGAGGAGGCAGAATTTGGGAGGCCAATTTCCATCCCGTATTCTTACTTCTGGGCTTGATTTATCTGGCCTACAACTGCCATATGCTCAGTACCAACCAGAATATGACCCTTAGAATGTAAACCAGCAGTTCTCAATCCGCAGGCGGCCCGATTAGCACACAGCTGCAGCCCATGAGCATAGGGGTGTGCGGTGATGAGCATAGGGTGTGGGTGTGGGACACTAGTTCTCAACCTGCGGCCCAGGTAACACTTTGAGGGCTGCATGTGCAGCCGACAATGATAAATAGGTTGAGAACCACTGGTGTAAACAATCCTATGCATGATAAAGGGGAAAACAGCCTGAGATACATTTTGGATCCAATCTTGCCCCCACTGAAATCAATGGCAAAATTTCCACTGACCTCAGTGAGGATGGGATCAAACTCTATGTTTTCAGTTAGAGCTATTTACTGCCATCAGTCTACAACTCCTGATCTAGCTGTGTTATAAGCTGCTGAATAAAAACATGCTATGCTAGCCAGAGAAACTGTATTAACACTGTACTAGCAAGAACAGGGTCTTGACAAACACAGCTTGAACCATATGGCCTTTTTGCTGATATAGCGCATGATTACTTGCTTACCAACCCAATCAAACAGCTCATGTTTTATAAGAAGGAAAGCAACTGCCTCAGACCATTATTCCACTTCCGAACTTTATTGTTTAACCTTACCTTCACTGCAATAAAGGCAGAGTCCATGGAGTGCCCCAATCTGGTGATTTTCAAAGGCAACATTCCCACATTCTCACACACCACGTACTCAGCCTGTTGTATTTCAATTTGAGACCACCTCAGTTCCAGACTGTAGGGGGGAGGAAAGAAAATCTGTGTAAAAAACTCTTTTGCAGTCCACAGGGATCCCTCCTGCTGACTGCTGACTATGGCTTTGGTACAGGTGACATTTCTCTCTTGATTGTTGATTCAGTGAATACACACACAGAGTTTCTGTTTTCAAATCAATGGGTTTGTTTGTGAGATTGTGTTAATTAGAGATAGGAAAAACAGTTAAATAAATTAAGAATTCCAACTGAGTCTTCACCTACCCACTGAACCAAATGTGAACATCTTCTCAGGGCCACTGAAGTCAGTATAAGTTTCGTCATGAACTTCAATGGGACCAAGATCTGATCCTAAGATCTGTTTGGCTAAGCCAGACTCTCTCTCCTGCTTGATTTCAAATAAGGCAATTGTTTCTTCCCTCCATTTAATTTTATTTTACTGTGACTCTCCAGTATTCTCCCTGTATCATCACCTCTTCCTTCTTACAGCTCTGCCTGGATCTAGCCCCCATACCCACTCAACATGCCACTCCTCCCACAGGCAACTCTGGCTGCCTTTCAAACCAGCCCCCACAAATTGCTGAATTCAAATCTTGTCTAAAACACCCCATAGAATCACTTAGGAGGGAATTGGGCTGGACTTATTGTAAAGTCACAAGCTGGGAATGGTTGTGGAGAAAAACATGGGATGAGCCCTCTCGAAGGGTTGAGCTTAAAGAAGGGTGTAAGTGGAGAGTCAGAGATGAAATGAGAGAATGCCTCAGCTATGCCACTTATGAATCATTATCTTGAAAGCTTCCAAACTTTTGGGGTATGATGACCATCTCTAGTGCTATTGGATGTTACACACACACACACACGCACACACACGCACACACACGCACACACACGCACACACACGCACACACACGCACGCAGAGCCTTGGGCACTAATGGGAAAACAAACCCCTTCTGAACCAATTTGTAAAGTCTGTAATGTATGGACTGTCTGTATACCAAGAGTAATGTTAGTGTGGGGGCTGTTGGAAATGGTTTCACATCAGAGGCTTAACGGATAAAAATTGATATTATAAATGTATGCCTTAAATAAGAGCAATGAGGCCTTTGCAGATTTCCATGGAGCACTGGAACCCCGAGAATGCATAGGTGAGTGCTTTGAAACCCCGATGTCAATCATCCATCATTCCTGCACTGAGCTCCTCTTTGGCAATGTCTTTACACCTTACTGCATCTGATGTGATTTCCTGAGTATCGTTCTTGTCTCAGGGCTTATCTACACGAGGAAACTGACTGGCATAGCCATAGCATAAATACTATTCCAATATAGCTATTCTGGAATAACTCCCCCAGGAGAACACTCAGTTCCAAAATAAAGATGATTTTATTCACCTAATTAATCCAGAATAAAATTACTTTTATTTCAGAACTCAGTGCCTAGACAGGGGAGTTATTTTGGAATAGCTAAATTATACCAGACTAGATATAGAAGAATAGATATTGCTCTGCAGCTATGCCAGGAAACTCCTTCAATGTAGAGAAGGTCTAAGTTACATGCTAAGAGTCACATGGCAGGGACCTTTAATTTTTCACGTACTGTAAAGCACACTGTATAGCACTAGAAATAAGAAGAGTCACCCTCAGTCTATCCACATTTCAGGAACTGTTCAAAGTCTGATCCTGTAGTAATTCAGCATCATTCAAATAAATGTTTGTGCTTTTATTGAAATGATATGCACTTTCAAGTCACCACAGTTTTTTGAGTGTGCTATCATTGTATTACACATTCAAATAAACCCAACTCCACCATTTGAATGCAATGTTAAATTTGGAGTTTTTCATTAAAAAACTAACACCCTGGTATCCTGGCCAAACTCCAGTCCAGTTAATTACTGTACTTTCTACCTCTCTAAAATCTCCCCCGAATTTTCAATGTGAGAAGCTGTTATTCTTCAGCTTCCTTCCTAAAAAGATGTGTTGCATTGGTACTGATGTACAATAATTCCCAGGTTCCACCCTAGAGTTGGCTGCATCAAAATGGTGGGTAAGTGGCCTTTATATACCTAGTGAAAAAATGTTTACAATGATTATTCATCTTTGAGAATGTAGTGCTATAACAAAGTGCCTAGGTTAGCCATATTCATATGAGGTTGAGTACAGAGACATCTATTGACATAGTCTGGTACTGCATTAGCTTCAACCCCAACTATTGATGCCTTTTCTCACTACTCCATGGTGAAGCAGTGGTCAGATAGTTCTTGTGAAATCAACCGTCTCTCTTTTCCCTTCTTTTTTAATTCCACAGGATCTGGTTTGTAGACACCAACTGTAGCACATGTAGGATAGCCCTGGTCATCTTTCTTGCTCACTTCAAATTAAACAAGTTGGCTGAACACTCAGAATTTTCAGAAATAAAATAGAAACAGTTCTAACCACATAGAATTTAGCTTATTTGCTGAATTAACTAGAAGTGTGAATGTAAACTAAATAAGTTAAATTGCATTAAACCCCTGTATGGACATTCTCATTCAGAATTAAAGTGGTCTTGATTTGGGTTAGCTTAATTTACTTCCAAAGTGATGCTGTCTCCTTCATTAGTTATTGTTATCAGAGAACATTTTAGTTGAAATGAGGGAAATAAATGAACTGATTCCCCAGTATCATATCAACTAATACACACACACCCCGGATTCGTGGGGTTTATCACAGGCTAAGGTGAAACTTCAGTGGGTGCCTGTTAAAATGTTGGGAAGAAGAGAGTCCCTGCATTTTCTCCCCTCAATCTACCCAGGAAAAATATAGCCCATAGAGTTTTTATTACTTAATGTTTTCTATTTGTTGCTTTGGAAAGGCCATTGCTCTCACACAGGCTTAGAGTGACCTCCAGCTGCAAGAGCATGTATGTGAAGCTGACAACCTGGTCCAAGGCAGTATTTGAACTTTAAGTTTATGGGCCTCATTTTCATTTACATTAAGGTCCCTTTATACCTCTCTGAAAGGACAATGTAAAAGGGAGAATGAGAATGTGTGCGTGCATGGTCATGTACTGTGAGAAATGTGGCATTTAACTGAAAACTGTTCCTTTGTATTTCTTCAATCTAAAAGGACATAAGAATGGCCATACTGGGTCAGACCAAAGGTCCATCTAGCCCAGTATCCTGTCTACTGACAGTGACCAATGCCAGGTACCCCAGAGGGAGTGAACCCAACAGGCAATGATCAAGTGATATCTCTCCTGCCATCCATCTCCACCCTCTGACAAACAGAGGCTAGGGAAACCATTCCTTAACCATCCTGGCTAATATCCAATAACGGACTTAACCTCCATGAATTTATCCAGTTCTCTTTTAAACCCTGTTATAGTCCTAGCCTTTACAACTTCCTCAGGCAAGGAGTTCCACAAGTTGACTGTGCGCTGTGTGAAGAAGAACTTCCTTTTATTTGTTTTAAACCTGCTGCCCATTAATTTCATTTGGTGGCCCCTAGTTCTTGTATCATGGGAACAAGTAAATAACTTTTCCTTATTTACTTTCTCTACAACACTCATGATACCTCTATCATATCCCCCCTTAGTCTCCTCTTTTCCCAAGCTGAAAAGTCCTAGCCTCTTTAATCTCTCCTCATATGGGACCCATTCCAAACCCCTAATCATTTTAGTTGTGCTTCTCTGAACCTTTTCTAATGCCAGTATATCTTTTTTTAGATGAGGAGACCACATCTGTACGCAGTATTCAAGATGTGGGCATACCATGGATTTATACAAGGGCAATAAGATACTCTCCGTCTTATTTTCTATCCCCTTTTTACTGATTCCTAACATCCTGTTTGCTTTTTTGACCGCCGCTGCACACTGCATGGACGTCTTCAGAGAACTATCCATGATGACTCCAAGATCTTTTTCCTGATTCGTTGTCGCTAAATTAGCCCCCACCGCATTGTATGTATAGTTGGGGTTTGTAGAAAGTCCGGACTCACCCCTGGGGCGCCTACTGCTGGTCGTCCAGGGAATTAGCTCACCAGCCTCTCGAGCGCCCTCTGCAGGCCGGTGATCCACCTGTCCTCTTCTGGCCCCCGTGTCCCTCCCAGGACCCGGTGCCCCTATTACTGGGATGCTGCCCCCTGGCAGTACCCCACAGATCTGGGTCTCCCCTCCCTAGGGAACTCCCACCCACTATCCCCACCTTGCCTCAGCACTAGGCCACTGCCAGTCACCAACTAGTCCCTGCTCCCTGGGGCAGACTGCAGTATAGGCCACTCATCACTGGCAATGGGGGGTTTGGATCTGCTGCCCCAGTCTAGTCGTGGGCTGCCCTCTGCAACCCCCAGTATCCCTTGGCCTAATACTAGGCCACAGCCTGGGGCTTTCCAGGCTGGAGCTCCCCAGCTCCTCAGCCTTTCCCCAGCCCTGCTCCACTACAGGTACCCTGTATCTAGCTCCCTGCAGCCAGGCCCTTCTCTCCCTGAACACAGAGAGAGACTCTTGAGCTCCTGGCTCCCAGCCTCTTTATACAGGCCAGCTGAGTCCGTTTGGGGCATGGCCCCAGCTGCAGTCACTTCCCCTAATCAGCCCAGTAGCTGCTTGCTCCCTGGGCTATCTCAGGCCCTTCCAGACAGGAGCAGGTGTCCACCCTGCTACAGGGTTATTTCTTCCAATGTGCATTACTTTACATTTATCCACATTAAATTTCATTTGCCATTTTGTTGCCCAATCACTTAGTTTTGGGAGATCTTTTTGACGTTCTTCACAGTCTGCTTTGGTCTTAACTGTCTTGAGCAGTTTAGTATCATCTGCAAACTCTGCCACCTTACTTTTTACCCCTTTCTCCAGATCATTTATGAATAAGTTGAATAGGATTGGTCCTAGGACTGACCCTTGGGGGACACCACTTGTTAATCCTCTCCATTCTGAGAATTTACCATTTATTCCTACCCTTTGTTCCTTGTCTTTTAACCAGTTCTTGATCCATGAAAGGACCTTCCCTCTTATCCCATGACAACTTATCCATGAAAGGACCTTCCCTCTTATCCCATGACAACAGCTTCCACATTCTTTTACAGGTTTCAGAGTAGCAGCCGTGTTAGTCTGTATCCACAAAAGAATGGAACATACTATATGCTCCATTTTATGCATCCGATGAAGTGGGCTGTAGCCCATGAAAGCTTATGCTCAAATCAAATTAATCTCTGAGATGCCACAAGTACTCCTGTTCTTTTACAGTCATTCATAAGGAATATCTCTTTACTCTTTTTCTCAGAGTTTCCTGAAAAAATGCTGCAATATGAACCTGTGACACTGTATACACATTTTTTTTCCTCAGCATCAAAACCACCAATGGCTGATTTGACTTAAGGCAGAAAGTCATGCACAATGTATTGAATCGCTTAGAATAGAAAATTTAAGTTACGTTTGCGGGGCAGCAGAGTTTCCGGTGGGATCTGTGACTTGAAACTCTAAGCTGTCTGAATTCACCTCCCAGGATGGATTGATGACATAAAGTATGATTTTGCCATTTAAATCCTTTTGGCTGAATCCTTTCTGGATAAATCCACCTGGGAAAGAGGGGAAACATTAAGATAAATCAAAATCCAGTTAAACAAGAGTTAGCAAAAGTCACATGGTTTGAATTAGCAACAGAGGGTCCTATGGCACCTTTAAGACTAACAGAAGTATTGGAGCATAAGCTTTCGTGGGTGAATGCCCACTTCATCAGACGCAATGAAGTGGGCATTCATCCAC